TCTTGGTATATTGTGAAGTGTTAATTTTCTTTGAGGTTGCCTTATAGTCCATTAACTTTTCTCTCCATTTAGTCCAGTCTATTTTATCCTGTAACTTACCTGATCTTCTCACCACCTGGATCTCTGTTCCTATGTGTTTACCTTCTTTTACATTGTAATTGTTTTGATCATAGATTGATCTCCCAGATCCTCTGAGTTTGTTCTTATAGTTTTGTTCTTTTTTTGACTCTTCCTTCTGCCAATTTAATCTGGGAGGTGCAGCCATGTATGCCAAATCTCTGGCTGTTGTCTGTTCTTGTTGGTTCTCAGTCCACAGAACTCCCTTTAGGATGTTTTGTAGTACAGGGTTGGCTTTGGCAAACTCGCTTAGCTTCTGTTTATTCTGGACTGTTTTGATTACACCATCATATTAGATTGATGGCTTTGCTGGATAAAGGATTCTTGGTTGGCAATTTTTTTCTTTAAGGGTTTTATATATGTCTCCCCATTGCCTTCTTGCTTGCATGGTTTCTGCAGAAGAACCCACCAGTGGTGAGAGTGGGGGTGTGCGGTCGCTCAGGCACCCCCTCTAATCACCAGAATGGAGGTGCACATAGAGTGTGGTGGGGGCAATGACCAGATGCCAAAAAAAAAAAAAGAAAACAAAAAAGAAACTCGGAACAAAGCAAAACAAACAAAGTGCATTGTCTACTTTTGCTCCAGGGTTTCCGCAGCATTTTTCCATACTGTTTCTGCTCCCCCATTTGGTCTTGCCATATGGTCTTGCCCAAGATGTCGGCTACAGGCCTCTGAGCCCAATAGATTCAAAAGTATGCGATTTTTTACTTCAGCTTCAAGTTCCAGTAGTTGTAAGCCCTCAAACTTTTTAAATATTCCTATCTCTGTGGTTCCGAGTTTTGGAGCTCTGCTCTGAATCTGTTTTGCCTGGTATTCTGTGATTTCGCTGATGATGAACTTCACTGCACCTCCACCCGAGCCGCCGTCAAGCCCCGCCTCCTCCTAGAAACCATTCTTGTAACCTCCAGGAGATGTTTCATCTCCCTTTAAGTAAAGAAAGGGGAATTGTGTAAATCATGCTTTCAATGTGGCACTGCATGATAAACGCAGTACTTCGAACCACAAGGTCGGCAGTTCAAACCCACTAGCTGCTCCTTAGAAACACTAGACAGTTTGCTGTGAGTCAGAACTGACTCAGTGGCACTAAAATACAACAACAAGAGAGAACTAACTATAAAAGGAGCTAAAAAAATAAAAGCAGTACTTGTCATAGCCTAAATAGCCTCTTTTTCTCTGCAGCTGATGCTTCAAGAATGTATCAGATTGACATCCTTGGAAACCCTAAGGAATCACTAAGAGTCAGAACAGACTGGAAGACACTTAGGACAGATTAGGCTCCAAGGAAGTCCTGAACAGCTTTTCCCTAAGATGGTCTGAGAATTCTGGGCTTGATATTGAATGACCTAGCCATGCTGCAGACCATTTGAGGAGCTCCACCTGAGTGCATCTGCCTACAGCCTTACTGAGATTTAATTCACATGCTATTCAAGTCACTTATTTAGAGTGTACAATGCAGTGGTGCTTAGCATATTCAGAGTTGTGCAGTCATCACCATAATCAAGTATAGAACATTTTCATCACCTGAAAAAGAAAACATATACCCTTTAGCTATCATCTTCCAGTCCTTCTTATTCCTCTTACACCTGGACAAATACTGATCTTCTCACTGGCTCTACTGATTTCCCTATTCTATACATTTAATATAAAAGGAACCAACAGTTTAAAAAGAGAATAAGTTGAATAAAATTACGAGGTCCTAGATCCGTTTTATGTGTTCATGTGTAAATTACCATAGACACCCTGTGGATGGTCTTTCTATTCTGATGTGAATTATTGCTGTTCTAGTTCACTACTGAATATACATGAGATTCTCTTGTTAACTTCTGGGATTATGGATGGATATTCAGACATAACACATTGAGATGTGCCAAATGTCAGCAATCATGATGATACTGACTAACAACCAAAAAGTCATGGATGTACACCGCCAGGGCAGACATGGTCTAGGAGCAATGGACAATAGCTTTAGATGCCAAAATGCCAGCATCAGCCTTGTGCGTAATGGATAAAAGACAACTAAGAAATTAGTTATTGGCTAGAATTTGGGATTGATAAAACAATATTGGAGTAATTTTTTTTTTTTTTTTACTAAACCCGAGTCCTCCAGATTGTCTTTTCTGTGGATTAAGCCAATAGGAATGAGTATTGTTGATGACCTGTATTATGAGTTAACCATATTTCTGATAATAATTATATCTGTACACACTTTAATCAGAGTAGTATTTGCTTCAGTCCTATTTGGGACAATATTATATCTTAATTACTCTTGTTATGTGCCGTGGAGTCAGTTCTGACTCATAGTGAACCTGTACAGGGTTTCTGAGGCTGTAAATCTTTACGAGAGCAGAAAGCCTCATCTTTCTCCCATGGAACAGCTGGTAGTTTCGAACTGCTGACCCTGAGGTTCACAGCCCAATTCGTAACAAGTACACTACCAGAGCTCCTTTACAACCAATTATTATTAAGTATATCTTAATAGGTTTTGTATGTTACATAATTTAAGGTCATTTAGGAGTTAATATTAATTATTTTTAAATTATTATTTTGCTTTTACTTCCTTTTCAAAATATGCATTGATAAGAAAGAATGCTAGGTGATTCTGGTTGTCTCTGAGTTCTTTTAAAGGAGTAAAGGGCAAAAATATATAAACTCAATTGGAAATATTTTTGAAAGGTACATACAGTGCTTAAGAATCAGTTCCCATCTGTTATAATACAGCCATGGCTAATATTTATTTAGCACTTGTTATATTTTAGGCAGCATTCCATGTGCATCATATAAGACATCTCATGTATTCTTCATAACGTTATGAAGTCAATAAGCTTATTATACTGAAACTTGAATTCAGAAACTGATACATGTGATTGTTTTTAACTCTACTTGGTCATGTACTAGTGATGGACGACTCAAGGACCAGGGCAGTGTTCAGAATGTTATTCTTAGCCCTAGAAGAAGACTATACATTCTACTCAGAGGTTAAATTGGACAGCGTACCGCACCAGGCTGTCCATCATCGGACGCATGTGAACACCTTTTGAAAGAGGATTGAATGGATACACTCAAAGGAAAAATGTATGAGTGTGCCTGGTGTGAGTGAGCTCAATCCTTTGCCTTCCTGTTTTCAGTACCAGGACAGCCACTAAACTTCAAAGCAGAACCTGAATCAGAAACAAGCATTTTGCTTTCTTGGACACCTCCGCGCTCAGACACCATTGCCAACTACGAGCTGGTCTACAAAGATGGGGAACATGGAGAAGAGGTAGGACTGTGCTTCTCGTCTTCATTGTCAGTTCTGTCCTGGGGCATGACTTCTGTTGTTGTTGTTGTCATTTGCCATCAAGTTGCTGTTGACCCATTGTAAAGTCATATGACCAAGTAGAAGTGCCCTAGAGAGCAGATTGCAGGGTTTTCCTCCTGATGAGTCACTGGTGGATTAGAACTGCCAACCTTTGAGTTAATCACTGAGTGCTTAGCCTTTGTACCACTAGGGCTCCCTAAGGACGCTTCTCTCACTCTTCCATGTTCTAGTAAAAGGTCAGCAACCTACTGAGCACCTTAATGGAAAGGAGCTGCTAATCAAAATAGGAACTTGACCAAAAAACCCACAAAATCACAAAATGTTATTTGGAGCTTTGTGTGTGTGGTGGGGGTGCAGATAGCAGGAGGGTGGGCACACACACAGAAAAGCAACTGTTGGCCTTTCTGGAATATTCCTTTGAATTCAGGCTTCAGAGAATTTTTGTTGTTAGTGCCTTCAAGTCTGTTCTGACTCCTAGCAACCCTGTATCTGGTTTCCAAAGCTTTTAAATCTCTGAGGGAGCAGAAAGCCTCACCTTTCTCCCACAGAGTGGCTGGTGGCCTCCAGCTGCAGACTTTGTGGTTCTCAGTCTGCAGTCCAATGCTTATTGTATGGAGCCACCACACTCCCTTGTAGAGGAATAGGAAATTTTAAGAAGGAAACAAAACCTGTGGCTTTTGCACTTCCAGTATTTCTCTTCTGCATTAATAAAGTCTGGAAGTCACCATGAAGGCACGTGACAGATGAGCTCAGTATGCTAATAAAAGACTTTGCTGTTGTTGTTAAGTGCCATGCAGTCAATTCTGACTCATAGCAACCCTGTATACGTTTTCCGAATAGCAGCTGGTTAGTTTGAACCATCAACCTCATTCTTCCAGCGTACCCTGCTTATCCTTTATTAAGATTGGCTTCGGAGAAGGAGGCCTCCAAGCAAATATTATTTAACTGCTGAGAAGTATTTGATCTCACCATGAGAAAAGTTTGAATATGCTATGCAAACAGGATCACAGTATATTATAGAAGGTGTGACAATTGGTAATCTTAGGGAAAAGAAGGTTAATAATGTAACAACATTCTTTACACATATGTATCACCAGGCAATTTTAGGGTTTCTAAGTTGTTGTTGTTAAGTGCCATCTAATTGGTTCTGACTCATAGCGACCCTGTGTAGGGTTTCTGTGGACCAGCTGGTGGGTTTGAACTTCCGGTCTTGTGGTTCACAGTCCAGTGCTTATCTTACTGCACCACACTATTAACTCATGAATCCTCTCAATAATACTATGCGTTAGCCACTATTTTCAGTCCATTTCACATATAACAGAATGGATACATGAAAAAAATTTAATTGGCCCCAGTTCTCATAGTATTACCCGACTGTGTGGTAGAGCTGGAATTTAAATCTAGGTAGTTATTATCCGATAGGATACACCGCCCCTAGAGAGCATTTTGAACAGATGGTAGAAATTGGTATTAGCACACATACAACGTTTTCAGGATGGGGATGGATATATAATAGTAATGGATCTATTCCTTGAACTATTCTGAAATCCAATGGGGACCATTACGAGAAAAACTTAGTGTAATTGTATGTGAAAACTCAATCCACACAAGTCATTTTACTGGACCTCTTAACATTCTTTTGGAGTCCTTGGGTGTGGCACTAGTAGTTAAGGACTATTAGCTAAAAGGTGACAGTGTAAAGCCTCCCAGAGGCACCTTAGAGGGTGGTCCTGAGGATCTGCTTCTAGAAACTCACAGCCTTGAAAATCCTATGAGACACAGCTCTACTCTACATTCATGGGGTTTTGACACCACAGGATAAGCACTAGATCGCAAGGGTGGTTTGAACCACAAGGTCAGCAGTTCAAACTGACCAGCTGCTCCTCAGTAATGCTATATGGACTCTCTAAGAGTCAGACCCAACTTCGTGGCACTTAACAACAACAATTATGAATCAGGGAGTGTGGTGGCTTCAAACGATAAACATTGGACTTTGAACCACAAGGTCCATGGTTTGAGCCCACCAGCCACTCTGTGGGAGAAAGATGAGGCTTTTCTGCTCCCACAAAGATTTAAAGCCTTGGAAACTCTATACAGGGTCGCTGTAAATAGGAGCCCTCTTGATGACACTTAACAACAGCAACAAAAACTATGAATCAGAATCAACTCAAGGGCAACCAGTAACTAACCAAAGGAACTTGGCATTGTTTACCTTTTAAAAACACAAATACTGAATCAATTATTATGAACTAATGTGTCATGCATAATTATGAATTCAGTTATAAATTACTATGTTCTTTTAAATGTGTATTTCATTACATCTGTTTGAATTGAGCAGAATCTCTGAAGAACAAGTTTTCAATACAGTGTTTTTGATGTATTCATCAAAGTCAATATAAATTATTCAAATTATATAAAATTATCTAAATTATATAATCGAGATGCACCTAAAGTGTGCCTCTTAACAACTTGATCTGTTGGTGTTTTAAGCCAATTGTCATCAATTTCATGTTAACTCATGGTGACCCCATGTGTGTCAGAGTAGAACTGTACTCCATTGGATTTTCAATGCCTGGTTTAAATCCTCGTTACCACCAAATTTGGGTGGGGGTTAAGTTGTGGTGTTGGAGGAGAATACTGCAAGTGTCGTGGACTGCCAAAAGAACCAATAGATCTGTTTTGGAAGAAGTGCAACCAGAGTGCTCCTTGGAGGCCAAGATGGCTAGACTTCGTCTCTCATACTTTGGACACATTGTTCGGAGAGAACAGTTGCTGGAGCAGGATGTCATGCTGGGTAAGGTGGAGGGTCAGAGAAGAAGAGGAAGACCCCCAACGAGATGGATCAGCCAGGTGACATCATTGATAGCGTCAAGTGTGGCGGCGGTAGTGAGGTTAGCCCAGGATCGGACATTGTTTTGTTCTGCTGTGCATGGGGTCACTATGAATTGGTTCTGACTCGATGGCACCTGACAACAACAACAACAACAACAATAACCAAAGTTAAATACATGTGTGTATGTATATGAATAAAGTAGAAGAATAATCCTTTGGGAGAAAGGCAAGCATAGATGCTTGCTGGCTTTGTTGTTAAGTGCTGTCTAGTTGGTTCCAACTCATAGCAAACCTGTGTACAACTGAATGAACCACTGCCTGGTCCTCGGCTAATCTCACAATCATTGTTGTGTTTGAGCCCATTGTTGGAACCACAAGCTCATGTCATTAAGACTTGTCCTTTTCTTCTCTTGACGCTCTGTCAAACACGATGACCTTCTCTAGGAACTGGTCCCTTCTGGTAACATGTCTAAAGTACAAGAAATAAAGTCTGGCCATCCTGGCTTCTAAGGAGCATTCTGGCTGTACTTCGTCCAACACAGATTAGTTTGTTCTTCTGCCATACCATGGTATATTCCATATTCTTTGCCAATACCATAATTCAAATTCGAATCAGTCTTTCTGTCTTCCTTATTCATTGTCCAGCGTTCACATGCCTTTGAGGTGATTAAAATACCATGGTTGAGTCAGGTGCAACATACCCCTCAAAGTGACACCTTTGCTAGTTAGCATTTTTAAGAACTCATTTGCGCACACAAATACACCCTCTGCAGTGCATCCTTTTATTTCTTGACTGCTGTTTCCATGGATTTGGATTGTGGCACCAATAAGGTGAAAATTCTGAAGACATCAGTCTTCTCTTCATTTATGATGATGTTGCTTATTGGTCCAGTTGGACTTTTGTTTTCTTTTATATCGAAGTATCGTCCATGCTAAAGGCCTCCATCTTTTATCTTTATCCTTGTATGCTGCATATCCTCTTCACTTCCAGCATGGAAGATTGTGTCATCTGCTTATCACAAGTTGTTAATGAGTGTTTCTCTAATTCAGACGCCATGTTCTTTTTCTGTAGTTGGGATTTGGGGGAGTATTTGTTCAGCATACAGATGTTGGCTTTATGATTGCTTAATTATGGAATCCCTACTGTTATTTTTTCTTATTGTTGGTAAATCTGGACTTTTAAAAATAGTTTGCATTTGCAAGCTAGAACACCCTTAGGGGTGTTTTATATTTGAATTCTCCTTGACTGATTTCTCTTTGTGTGAACAGCATTTGATGTAAAATATATATATATATATATGGCTTAAAATTATTTATGCTGTTACTAGATTACATATATGCTGATATTTTATGGTTTACTACAAATTAACATTTAATCTGAAATTGATTACCCCAGACAGCTGTATTTTTGCTAGAACGCAAAGGCAAATTCCAAGCTTTGAAAAGTACAAGTGACAGCATTTGATTAAAGAAATCTCATTTCAAAACACCCTTTATGATGTTAAAAGTTATAGAAAAAAAAAAGTGTGATTTTTTTTTTTTCCCTAGCTGAGAGTTCTCTATTCATGAAAGAAGAAAGTTTAAAAATGACTTTAAATCAACCTAGAGTAATGACTAGGTTTCATATATATTACCCCAGCTTTTGTCAGCGAATAACATCTCACTTTTATCCCGGCCACCTTTGGGCAGTTTTGTGTCTCTTTTATGTCCTCCTAAGATTCTCCAGTAAGGAGCTCTGGTAGCGTAGTGGTTACAAATCGGGCTGCTAACCTCAAGGTCTGCAGTTCGAAACTACCAGCTGTTCTGTGGGGAGAAAGGTGAGGCTTTCTGCTCCCGTAAAGATTTGCAATCTTGGAAACCTTGTGCAGGGGCACTATGAGTCGGAACCAACTCCACGATACTTACCAACAACAACAAGAATTCTCCATTGAAATCTGTGAGAACTGGAACTCTAGGGAATGTAGGTGTTACCTGCTTTCCACCTTTGACAGGTTTCTGTCAA